CTGTGCATAAGAATACTTTCACATTAATATATCTGTGACACTGCATAGCTGTGCAAAGAGATGGTTGGCAACACTTGAAGTGAAAGAAAGAAGATGGACATGGCCTACAAAGTGCAGAGCAAAAGCCAAGGCAGATAACAATATGAACCACAGACTTGTAGCAGTCTCCAAGGGTGAGTGGAGTCATACCTCTTTGTACAGCACAAAAAAGACAGATCATGACATTCTTCAAAATAATTGGGTTGGAGAACAATGCCTCGGAAAGCCACAGAAAGTCATTTCATTTAACTGCTGAAAGTCTCCCGCAACCTTGTACTCCTCACCTATTTGGTGTTATCTATCCAATGTATAAGTTTCAAATCATGAGATTTAGTGCAGATACCACCTTCCTTCCTTCTCGTGTCCTTGTCATGACAAGGTATTTAACAGAACTCACAGATTTCTTGGAATCCAACAGGACCATGCCGTGAACACTTCTGCTATGGCCTCGAACTTGCAACCTCTCAGCTGCCAACCACACACCCTAGCATTTACAAAAGTGCCAAGCATAAAAGGGCTTTGCTCTTTGGTCTACAACTGTCAATGCAATGAAAACAGACAGTGGTACCATGTACAACTTAGTGAATCTGCTGACCTGGCAGACGATGAACCTGAAGATGCATCTGGCAATTGGTTTGTACAGTTAGTTGAATTGAAGAATATTCCACTTGCCTAAAAGCCTTTCCTGTCCATTTTCATGTCCTTGCGTGACAAGATATTTAGCAGAATTTGCAGATTCATTAGAATCTAGCAGGGCCACGCTGCAAGTGCTTCTGCTACGGCTTTGAACTTGCAACCAACTGAGCACCTTAGCACCCGTGCCACCCCACACCCCATCGCCTAAAGCAACATTTTGCCATTTGGTTGCTTTCCAACTACTCTGTTTCAGTGGCAGTCAGTAACTCACATGTTCAGGGATACTAATAAGATATTTATTTTATTCTGTGTAGCTCAATTTGCATTGCATGCATCTTTGTGAAGCCATTTACATGATTAAGACCATCCAATAGGAATACTGTGTTGATTTTTTAAATCCCCCTTGTAAATTTAGCATCTTACTTCTGACTTCCATTTGGTACGTGTATCCAAGACAGCTGTAAAAGGAAAGCACGTGAAATCTTGTCTACTCTCTACTGGTTTCTATACTACATTCATCTCTACAGTATCTAAACATTTTCCAAGGGTGCATTAAGCAATATACAGTCACATTTATTCTCTTCCCAGGGGAAGAAGCATGTGCAGTGGAGCAGCTTGCTTTGGTAGTGGTCTTTATTGGTTTGATAAAGTGCACAAGGAAAGGTGGTAAAATCAGAAATACAAGGCCTGCACTCAGACTGGAAGGTGATAAGGCTTGTGATGGTCTTTTGTGCCTGGAGGAGGTTAGTCTCCCAGGCAGACAAGCTTTACACTTGCGGCAGACAGCTCTACTATGCCAACAACAAAAAAAAACAAAAACAAAAAAACAAAAACAAAAACCTGACATTCAAGGCCAGCTTCTCCAGGATATCTTCATTTGACTTGCAGAAACTTTACTGTTGAAAACATGCCAATCAAGAGAAACCTCATTTCTCTTTCATGTTCCAGGCTAATATTCTAAAGGCCCCTGGACATTTAATGGAATGATCCCAACAATCATGCCTCCTGCCATGCCACACATAAGAAGACATTCCCCATTTTTTTTTTTTTTTGGGTGGGGTTCAGAATCAGATCACAACTGCACCACTACGACTTGCATAATGGGAGCCCAGGATCATGATTGTGAGCTTCCCCTGTACTGGCAAGTTGAAAGCTAGGTGTCCCAGTGAACCAATGTGGTCCCAGGACTGGGTCCCACAATCAGCTGATGGTGGGTCCTAGCCCTGGGACCATACCAGAGCTGACTGGAGACTCCAGCACAGTCCCACAGCTAGGGGAGCTATCAACTAATCTGTCATGCAACTACACCTTCAATTTAAGGCACAACAAAAACCAGACAAAATTATTACACAAATTTTGTGGAACCATTTATTGTCTGAATGTATAACTGAATACTATTTAAAATGTGATTAAGTTAATCATGCCTCAAGTGTAATATCTGCCAGGGGGCTAACTATGACAAAAAGTCTACCTTTTTACTTGTACTTACTAAGCATATAAATATATAATCTACAGTCACAGAGACCCAACATGTTACTCCAAGCTTTCTTTTCTTTAAGTATAAAGAATTCAGAGTACAAATGAACTGTTTTTGTAAGTGTAGCTACCAGGTAGGTATAAACAATTACAACTTACATCTCCTACTAAAATCATTTACAATATTCTGATAGATAAAAGTCAAAAGTTGTATAAACTTGAGTAATATTTTGCTTTTTTTTTTTTTTTTATTACACGTATTGGGTAAAAATACTAAAGCTATTTTCAAGTCCCCCCCCTGAAAAAAACCCCAAACAACAAAAAAAACAAAAACAACTTTTCTACACTGTAGCAACAACTTTACAGCTGTAACTCACACAGTTGATAGGAAATTATTCCCCAAGGGCTCTTGTTGACAAAACTAAGAATTTACTTAAGCAATAAAATGCAGTATTTGCAAGTGCCACTTCTGCCTGGTACTATGCACTCTCATCTTAACACCTCCATTAATTGATTGGCCTGAGAAAAGCAGAGCAAACATTCTTTCCAAAACCAAGGAATTAGACTTAAAAGTTTTGCTTTTCCTGGCAACACACTACATGCTAATTCATTGAGAAAACCAACTGCTTGAAGTATTAGTATCCATATATCTGGAGTACACGCATGCACTGAACAGCGGTGAATTATGGGATCACCGTATCTTAAAATGCTGTTAACTCTGCTGGGGCCCAGCCCAATGAACTACAGACAACCTCCGCTTAATGCTCTTAATTGGTTCCTGGAGAAAAAAATAAAAAAAAAAGAGTGTTAAGTGAAACAAAGTATTTGACGACCCAAGATGGAGACTGCAATGACCCAAGGTGGCAACTGCGAGTGTTATAAAGAAACTTGCTGAACACTAAGTGAAATCAGGTATCAATTTAAAATGAGCGTTATAGTGAAATACCGCTAAGCAAAACAGCATTAAGTGGAGGTTGCCTGCATACAGTAAATCATGAGCCTTTTGGCTTTGGACTGATATTGTCACTTCTCAGCCTCTTCTGAGCTAAGATCAAGTGTAGTTGCTGCACTGACTAGTCAGATACCCAAGCTGAAATGCATTTAAATGGCACTGTGCAGTGGAGGATGCACCACTACCCATGTGCAGACAGGATTCCCTATGAGAGCCTCATAGTTAGCTTCCTACTGGCCAGCTTCTACTGGAAGGATCTTGGCTACACGTCGACTTATGGAAATGGGGGACTCCTCCCTTGCTTGCTTCTGCAGCCATATGCCTGAGGACAAGTGAAACTAGGGGACATCCAAACCCCAAGCCTCCAAGCTTGGGCCTGCACATAGGATGCCTGCCAAAGGATTTGGAAGTATCTGAAGCCCCAGGCTGAAAAGTCTGGGATGAAGAATACTTGCCAGTAGTAGGGTCACACAGTTCTTGAACTATTCAAAGGATTCTGAACTGATCTGGCTAATTTGACATGGAACACAAAAAAAAATTTAAAAATATAAAAAAGTTGGTACTGTGTACAAGTAGGTACAAAAGTGCTGCTCAAAAGTGTTTTGAGTACCTGTGCTAAAACTTACAACAGTTTGCAAAAATATGAAAAAATAAAATAAATTTTAAAAAGCATCAATTCTGGATTAAGTAGGTACCCACAGTAATTTGCCTATATGCAAACTGCTACAGATCTGTTTATTTTGAAATCAGTGGTTTTTGTTCCCTTACATATCAAAATTGCCCCTTACTTCCAGATGCTGAGCGAGAAAACAGAGCCCAAGCAGGGCCTGATAGTAGGGAGGGAGAGCGGAAAAAGGGGCTACCTGCCCCCCTGCCACTATATTTTCCCTGCTGTAGCAGTGGGAAAGGGACAAATCCAAGACAAGTCTCTGATAATTAGAGTCTATACTTGAAAAATTATGAACAAGTTTATAAATTTACCATATACAGAATCTAATTATTGGGGGCTCATTTTATAATCAGGATCATCTTATTTTCAAGTCAATAAGTAGTTATTTTGAGGACTTCTGCATTGACAGGAATCTGTCAGCATTTAAGACATGGTGTTGCAGGGGTTATAGAATTCAAAAGCTGAAAACTGGCATTTAAAACTTACACCTGGAAGCAGATAATTAAATCTTTTTTATAATTACTCAAGACATTAAAGAAAAAGTCTCAGGCACATTTATTTTCCTGGGGACTCCATTTCATTGTTTGCTGTATTTCTGAAAAATTCCTTTTACGGAGTATTTGGGGGGGGGGGGGGGGGGCGCAAC